CCCCCCTTCATTGTGATTGGACTGCACATGAGAGAAATTTTACATTCCAACATTTATTTCTTTTTGTTTCTTTCAGAAATGATGGAAGCATTTTTGATGGGCTGGTGGAAGAAGATGACAAAGATAAAGCAAAAAGGTAAGTTTTAAAGTTTTAAAGCTAAAAAATGTCTTATACTTGTACACTTGAACTTACCAGGGTGATTTCTAAACAATAAAAATGTGTTTCTTTTATATATAACCATATTACTCAACAGCATTTCTTTTACTGTTATTCTTCAGATATTTTGTATTTATAACTGTGGTTCGATGATTTGTAAAAGCTTTATTCCAAAGGCTTCGCTGCACCCCTCCGTGAGAAGGACGAAGCAACTCTTCAAAAATGGTGTCTGAGATATGGAGTAGGTGTTTTTGTGACAATTCTCACAGCAGAAATTCTTAAGGGGCTGTTTGCATCAGGAACCTGGCAGTAGTATGCAGCTTATTATAAGAAAGTTTCATAGTTGTTATAAAACATTTTCTGTTTTGTTTTTCAGAGTGTCTAGAAACAAGTCTGAAAAGAAACGTCGAGATCAGTTTAATGTACTTATCAAAGAGCTGGGTTCCATGCTTCCGGGTAATGCTCGGAAGATGGATAAATCCACTGTACTGCAGAAAAGCATTGACTTTTTACGGAAGCACAAAGGTAATTATCTGTAACAATTAAAAAAATTTGTAAATTCTTAACTTTTTAAAATGATTTCTACATAAAACATTAGCAGTTTTGCAGCTCCTTTAAGGAAATTGTCAAAAAAAAGTAAAGAGCTCATGAAGAAAGATATTCTTAAGATCATAATTTAGGTAGCAGAGATACAACTGTGTTTTTGCTAATGTTTTGCAAAAGCCAGTACTGATTTTTTTTGTCCCATAGTTGTCAAAGAAGTCAGTTTCATAAGGAGAAGCATTTATTTTTGAAAAAAACCTTGAGGTTTTTTGTTCTGGACCTAAAGGTCTGGATTTAAAGGATGGACGCCTTTAGAATACAGTTGCTTCATAAGGTGCAAGTTGTCAAAGTTTTGCTTCACAGGAAGACTGTGGATCCATTTCAGTGGAAGTATTTGCTGGAAGTACGTGCTGGAAGTACTTACTTTGATGTTTAGATAAAACTGGTTTGAACAGTTGGTTTGTCTCTCCAAGCTTCATATAAAGCAAGATAAATCACTGAAAAAGCTAGTCCAAGGGAACTTAATGCTCCCTCTCTTCGTGTCAGGTATCTACACAGCTATCTGCTTTAACAAAGATGGTAAGGCGATAGGGCATTGTGGTTTCCAGCAAGTGTTATTGGGTAGGCTGTTTGATGAGAGAGGGTGGCATGCAGTGGGCATACAAACCAGGAGCATGGGCATTTTCTTTTTCCTTTTGGCTGGGAAAAAAACCCAGAAAATCTATAAATGCTTTTAGCTGAACTTTCTAATTTTCAGACATATCTGCTGATGTATAAGCCAATGAGTGTGTGTTTGTTGTTTTGTAAAGTGTCATGCGAAATGTCAAAACGATGAATGTCTTTGAACATCCTTGCTATGTTTTGTTTCTCTGGTTGTTTGTACCAGCTGATGGTGGGATGTACCCAGATATGTTGTACTGAAGTTCATTACAGATCGTTATTTCTGTCACGAAAAAATTCTTCCACCAAATGTACACTTATTTATGGCTGTTTGATATTTATGTATATAAAAAATCCCTGTTCCTGCTCCTACACTTGTTCTTAATATGGCACCTTGTGGTTCACACTCCCAAAAGGCAGAGTAAAAATTCAAGAAAATGAACTCTTTCGCTAGTTAACCCGTTTCCCTGAGTAATTTCTGAGCATGCATACTAAATAGAAAGCAGTAGGGACAAAAGAAGCAGCTACAAGTTTATAAAATAAAATAAGTAAAGCTATTAAATAGATGGATAGGTATGTATTTATCAACAGTATGTGTGTCAATTTAAGGTATGTTAAGGTATGACAAATATTTTTCCATACCCTAGCATGTTTATTACATTAGTGTTATGGTTTAAGGAGCACCAGATGTGTACTGAATAGTGCCATTAAAAGGCTAAACATAACAATTAAAATGGAAAGGGAGGAATAATTTGTGTGAGAATTCATAGGTTTGGGGTTTTTTTGCCAATTAAGTATTGATTATGCTGTTTTAATTCTTTGAGACACGTTTGTCTCATAACAGAAAGAAAAGCAGTATGAAGGCTCCTTTTCTGTAGAAGTCAGTTCTATAGGTTCTAAGGCCTTTGTGAAAATTGGTTGTTTCAAAATCACTTTATCTTGTGTTGATGATTCTTATCATAAAATACAGAGTGTAGAATGAAAATGTGTGTTAGCCAGCCAGCAGCACCAGTCATGCTTTTTTCTTCAAAGTGCTTTCTGAGATTTTTTTTTTTTTAAATTATTGTTATTTTTTATTTTTTTAGGATAAAGGGGAAAAAAGCACCTCTGGAGATGGGTGCCTTTTAGGGCATGGCACTTTGGTCCTTCACCTGGTGGGACAGAGTGCAGCTTTGTGTGACTGCATATATTGTATTAAGGTCTCTAAATCTCTGGCTGACAGTGCTTACTAGCATTGCTCTGCACTGGTTTACATTAGAATATTTTGGACAAAATGTTGGCAAAGGTCAGAAGCATATTTTGCCTCCTGAGGTGCTTGGATCTGTTACAATAGAGCAGAGTGACCCTAGCAATAAATGAATTGTTCAGTGCTTATTAGCTGCTTTATTGTTGAAAATCCTACTGTGTTCAGCCACCAGGTTTTGATTAACTGCATTGCTTCTGGTTCTTTCTGGACCATTTCCACATCAGCCAGACTTGGTATTCTGGCAGCAGTTCCAGATGAACTATCTGAGCTGGTTATTGGCCAGTGTGAATTCTGTTTCTCATTGGGAAAAAACAGCAGGCTAAACACACTGAAATTATATTACTGAGAGCTTCTCCTTGGCTAATACTACCTATCATCTTCCTTTGAATTTGTAAACAAGGAATTTTTGAAAATTATGAAATACTGAAGAATTTCACTGCTTATAATTACAACTAGTAGACTGATATTCATACAACCCACAGATAAACGCTACAGATCTTGGCCCAGCTGGCAATTTCTTTTGAGGATGCTCAGTGCTGATGCAGGGTTGCTTCAGATCCAGGATTTGAAGACTGGAGTTTAATGTGCAGGTTTGGTTATGCTCCTCTGTGTGGTATCTAGCTCAGGAACATGACCTCAGTGCCATTTATCTTTGAAATGAATTTATCTTTGAATGCAACCTTTTGTCAGAATTTTTAGGCATTTCTCTGAAGTTACCAAATGGAACAAGTTCTTTCCATGTTACTTTGGCTCTGTTTTCCAATATCATACTTGTTGTTCTAATTACGGGAAGTGTAAAAGAACACCTGTACTTGTGGTAAGATAATTCAGAATGGTTCGTTAAAGGCATGAACTTAAGCTTTTATTTAGTATAGATCCTTTCTATTGCAGCAGCCAGACTGACCTTTTTTTTTTTTAATTCTGAAGTAGGATGGTTATATGGACCAGAATGAGCCAATGAATCAGACTTTCCAGTTCTAAAGTGGAGATTATCTGTGTCCTGTCGACTGAATGCACTAATTTCCTTGAATATTGCCTCTATTTTGGTGGCAGAAGTTTTCATTTTCGTGTCCTTTGACTTTCCCCTCAGTGTTCAATATATTTGTTCTGACTGAAAAGTTAGATTTAGGGTTATACTTAGGTTGTCTTTGTTCTCCAGCCCACTTTTACTGCTCTGTGATACCATTTCAAAACAGATAGCAAAAGCCTGATCAATTTATGTCTTTTGTGAGATCTGATCATTGGAGATTTTGGTCTGTCTTATTTGTTGATATTTTTTTCCCCTCTCCTTGCGGCACTCCACTTCTTGCCAGTTTCTTGAATGACGTTGCTGTTGTTTACTGTTCCTTTAGTTAAGTCTAAAGCATTTTTGTAGTTTTCCCCCTTCAGTCTGGGAACCAAAATTCTGAACTGTTCCAGCCCTTTGCGTATTTAACTCAATTCCAGGTTTTCTGTGCTCTCTGAGCCATCTTAACTAACAAACTAGCTTACGGCCTTTGTACAGACTTGTCCTTTAGAAATCAAAAGCCTTAAAGAAATGGTTTGGTTCTTTCAGTTCATCTAAAAACTTGATTCACAATTACTTGTTCAAGGTTGTTCTCAGAACTTCTGTAATGCCTTTGTTACTCATCAAAACTGAAGTACTACGCGGTCTTGCTTCTTGTTATTTCAGTTATCAATTGGTAAGGAAGCATCAGCTTTCAGAAGCTGGGGTCTCGTTTTGCTTAGCAGCCATTGTTTCTCTCACCTATGTATGGGAAGTTAATCTATGTGTTTCTCTACAGGAGTCCTACAGGAATCTCTGTTCAAAATTCATCTCTGTGTACGAATTGGACAGTAATTCTGCAGTGGAGTCTGTCATAAAGCTCTTAACAGTGTTGAAAAACTGCTCTTTTTTTAATGTAACCTTATTTCTTTACAGAAAAGAGTGGAAAGAAGAGAAAGGACAGTGACAATTTTTAGTGCAAAGGTTACAATGACCGGGATTGGCCAAGATACTTGAGGATTAGGCATTTTAATGACCTAAACTGATCAGGAATTTTGGCTTTCTAAATCTTTGAAAACAACACTCTCAATAAAACATTTCATTATAGTCTCAGAGGAAAGAGTATTTTTCCATTGTCAAAATCCATTACTTACTGTCATTAACTTCAGCATTACCTTGAAGTCTGGCAGGACTATAGCACAAACTGGTAGAAGGAAAGAGAAGACAGATCTAATTATGACATAGGGTAGAAGACGTATTTTCTTTTAAGGAACAACATCTATATGTAATGAATGAACAACAGAGGAGACTGGAGAACTTTCTGCTGTTGCCTACTGTGTATGTGTAGCTCAGTGGGAAAATGATGGCTTTTGGAAGTGTGAATCCTTATATTGTATATATGTTTGATTGTAGAAATTACTGCACAATCAGATGCCAGTGAGATTCGACAGGACTGGAAACCAACATTCCTTAGTAATGAAGAGTTCACACAGTTAATGTTAGAGGTATTTTATTTCTGTTTTTCTGGGGGTAGAATATTTCTTCACAGGGAGCCATTCCATAATGAAATTTCTCAGTTCGATAACATAACTTTTTATTTTTGTATTTTAATTGTAACTATACGTTTTCATGAAGATAAACAGTCAAAATTCGTATGTATGCAGTGTAGTTCAAAACAGTTTTTCTTTTAACTGCATTTTCCATTACATAAAACATCATAACAGAGCAAGTCCACAAATGAACATATTTACTGTAAAGTGGATATTTTAAATTATCAACATAAGGAAGGTACTAGTTAAATAAAGAATTGTTATGCATAAATTAAAATTTTAATTATAAAAAAAGGCTCAACGCATCCATGTAACCTGGGAGCAATAAAGTGTTTGATTTTTTTGCTTATTACACATTCCAAAAATGGTGCATGAGCATTACTTTGCTAAAGAAGATTACATAAATAGGTGGATTACTACTAGAAATAAACTTTCAGTATAAGCTATCATTTCCTTGGAAATGAGGATAAGTCATTTGTATCTTGTTAGTGAAACGATTTCTAATAATAGGTAAATGAAAAATGTTAAAGTGCATGAACAAGCACTTTTTATTTTTATTCCATAGTTAAACCTTTTCTTTGAGGCACAGATTTAAAAAGTAAAAAGTTCTGATTTTCTGTACTTAAAAAATTTTCAAAAAATCCTCTGTGGTGAATTTGCATATTTTTTCCAACAAGTTAGTGAAGTAGTTGCTTCTGTTTCTCAAGGTTTTTTGTAGCTGTTTTTCGTGTTTCTCAAGTCCTCTTACAAAATATGTCTGCAACTACTGACTGTAAAGCTAGAACAATATGATAGAAGAAATTTTTTCAAAGATGTGAGCTTTAAAATTTCCTATTTAGAAATGCAGTTCTGTCATGCTTTTATGTTTGGTAGTGTTCAACTACAAGATAGTTCTGTTATGTTCAGTGGCAATAAGTTTGAGTTAAGTAGAAGATAAGGCAGTCGGAACTGTATCTCACAGTTTTCAAGTGTCAATAAAATCTTGCTACAAGTTTCTTTTTTTGAGATTGGGGATGTGGAGATTTTAAATACTGAAATTCATTGATTTCACCACCTCTTTTACTTGTTCTTCCCTAGTTTTTCCACCTCTTCTTACTTTTGTCTCTAGCTCATTTTTCTGAGTTTTCTGATGTTTAAAATGGTGATGGAATTAAAAATATCGGGCGGGCAGAGTGGGAGGTGGGGGAAACAGTGGCTAGCTGTATATGGACTTGCTTCTGAAACCACAGATTATTAAGAACAGAACAGTATGGGAATTGTAATGCTCGTAGTGTAAAAGCAAGACTAAGAAGTTTTAGTAGTGAAAGGCATTCTCATTTTTATAATAAACTAAACTTACATTGGTCTAAATTATTTTCCGTGTTGAATATAGCTTAACATTTTTAATATGCTCTGTTTCTTTTTATTTAACTGCCCATTATGTTTAATTTCAGGCTCTTGATGGTTTTTTTTTAGCAATTATGACAGATGGAAATATAATATATGTGTCTGAAAGTATAACTCCCTTACTTGAACATTTGCCAGTAAGTACAAATTGCTTTCAGTAACATGTCAGTTTGTCTATGGATGGGGTTCTGCTATGAGTACTAATTAATCGTTAGCCTTTTTGGCATTATAGAACAGATCTATGCTTTGTTTTAATGCTTCTGCTTTTTCTTCAGCACAACTCCTTCCTACTGGTCTGTCTCCTATATTAAATGTTTCCTTTGGAAATACAGAATGCAGTTGGCACTCTGTTAGGCAGGATTATGAAGTGCCAGGCTAGCATCAGTTTCTCTTTAACATAGCTGAAATAACACAGTTGACTGCAGGAGACCCTTTAGAGTTCATGCCTGTCACAGCCTCTACGTGAGTCAGAAGAGTATTGCTAAAGAGCTATATCCTTGGAATTTTTTTAAACTACTTTTTTACTCCTTTCTTTTCAAAGAACTCTTGTAAGAAATACATTGCTGCTGGTTCTGCTTTTTAAGCTAGGTATATACTTCGGGTTTTATCACATTCACTCATCTTTAATCCTGTGGCATTGCTCACTGGTAAATTTAACATTCTGCTTTTTAAAGTTACCTTTGAATAATGTTATTCTGAAGTGAGGCAAATTAGTACTCAAAAATGCAAACAATTGATGAGTGAAACAGTGAGTTCTTTTCTAGAAGAGAAGGACAAGTTATTGTTAAAGGCTAGTTGTCTTACTGTGATAAGAGTATTTTGTAAAACTTGGAGTGGCATATTTAAAAAATGATTCTGCAAAACACAAATTCCCCTAAGGTATGCATGATATCAGCCTGAGAATTTTGAAAAATGTACAGGTACTTGTGATTTAAAAAAAAAAAGTAGAATTTACCAAGTTCTCAGAGGCACATTTGTTCTTTGCTTTTAGGTGTGATTTATACATTCTAAACATACATTCTATGATCCTTTTCTGAATACTTAATCGAATGCATTTATGCATATAATCAGTTGTTCAGTTGTTCAATTTTATAGCATTCATCTTTATTGTTCCCAGTTTTGTGTACATTGTTGCAGAACTGATTATAAAATGTATTTATAAAATCAATTGCAATCAGATAAAATTATTGGTAACATAATAACCTATATGATGTAGGGAGGGGCTGTCTTTTGTTCCAAGATATCATTTCAATGTATTGGATGCCACCAACGGGTTACAGTGCCCTAGAACAACACCCTATAATTTCTAATTAAAATGCTCCTTTACTTGGAATTGTTGCATCCCAGGGAGGTTAATACAAGCGCCATTGTACTTTAATGTGTTACGTATGTCTGTTATGTTCATGGTGTTTTTCATTAAATGGTTTGCAGTGTCAAAATTAAGACAGATCAAAGTGAGATTTTTTTCTTGCAAAATATTCATGTGTATTCCAGCAGGTGGCTTTGTTGAGTCAGTAATGTTCTTCTGAATTGTGGAATTGTTTTGCATTAAAATAGTAGGCTTTGTGACATTGTATGTCTTGCATTAATTTAATGCTTATTAAATCTTTTTCTTTCAGTCTGATCTTGTGGATCAGAGTGTATTTAATTTTATCCCAGAGGGGGAACATTCAGAAATTTATAAAATATTGTCTTCTCATCTGCTGGAAAGTGATTCATTGACACCAGAATACTTAAAATGTAAGTAGTTATTGCGGGTTAACCCTGGTAGGCAGCTCAGCCCCAGACAGCCGTTCACTCACTCCCCCCAGTGGGATGGGGAAAGAATCAGAAGGGTAAAAGTGAGAAAACTTGGGGGTTGAGATAAAAACAGTTTAATAGGTAAAGCAAAAGCCACGTGCACAAGCAAAGTGAAATAAGGAATTAATTCGCTACTTCCTATCGGCAGGCAGGTGTTTAGCCATTTCCAGGAAAGCAGGGCTCCATCATATGTAATGGTTACTTGGGAAGACAAATGCCATAAGCACAAATGTCTCCCCCTTCCTCCTTCTTTCCCCAGCTTATATTGCTGAGCACAATGTCCTATGGTATGGGATATCCCTTAGGTCAACTAAGGGATAGTTGTGTCCCCTCCCAGCTTCTTGTGCACCCCCAGCCTACTTGCTGGCGGGGCAGTGTGAGAAACAGAAAAGGCCTTTGCACTGTGTAAGCACTGCTCAGCAATAGCTAACACATCCCTGTGTTATCAGTGCTGGTTTAGTCACAAATCCAAAACACAGCACTGTATGAGCTGCTATGAAGAAAATGAACTCTATCCCAGATGAAACCAGTACGATAGTTGTGTTAAAAATAATCTGCTTTGTATTGCATGTTATCAGTTCTTTTCCTCCAGTGTTATTTAAGCAGAAACATTCGGGTGAGCCCTGAAGAAGCACTTTTTTGTGTTTGTTTCCCCCCTCCCCGAAGAGTAAAATTTTCAGCGTTGCATTGCATTTCACTCTGTGACTTTCCCATGTATTAGAAATGTTTGTCTTGTTTGTATAGCTTCTATTTAGATGGTTGTAGCAGTAGGCAAGAATAAAAACATAGCAGCCTAATGGGTTTTGGAAGTGCCTGCTTTAGTAAACTTAAATTTAGGGCAGCTGCTTCTTTAAAATAGCTCTAGTTTTCAGGGGTTTTCTATGTCATTAGCATTCAGGCCCTTCATGCACCAATTCTAAAGGAGTTCTGCTCTTCTTTAGGTTAGTTAATATCACACTGGTTAAAAGCAGATGCTGTAGCCATTTGTAATCACAACACTTACAGTATCTCATTAAGTATGCAGCTTAATTATTCCTGCGTTACATTTCATGTTGCCTGTGTGCTTCATCAAACATGTAGCCTATTAATTTGTTTATTCTTTTCTCAGCAAAAAATCAACTAGAATTCTGTTGCCATATGCTGCGAGGAACAATAGATCCAAAAGAGCAACCTACATATGAATATGTAAAATTTATAGGAAATTTCAAGTGTTTGAATAACGGTAAGTCATTTCAGTGATGTTAGAGTGGAATACTTAGGCAGCTTCACAGCTAAACAGGCTTGGGACCATTGTGCAAAACTTAACGATGGACTAAAATCAGTCTTCCAGAAGAAAAGCTTGAAGGAGAGTTATATCACTTCTATATTGTTTTAATGAAAAAGAAGGAGAACTGCTATCAGGTATTACAGGTCTGTGCGTTTGAATGCAAAATGTAGTAATTATGCTTAATGCTTTCCATTAAAGAAAACTGGTATCTTGTAAAACATTTTTAAAAGAATGTAAGAGAAATTTAAGCAAATGCTTCAAAATAAAGAGCCTGAATTTAGTTAAGTGTAATCCATACTTAAGCAGGTGACTAAGTAACTTGAAGATCAGTGGTACTGAGTACCTGCAGTTCTCATGCAGTGAGCTGGGAAGTAAAATGTAGGTTTCCCCTCCCCAGTTCAATTCTCTGCTTTCACTGACAGGAGTTACCACTCAGATGAGTGGATGGGCCGGTACAGTTTTCCGCACTGAGTTCCTTCTCCCTTCCATGGAAGTTATTTTTATTAATTACATACTAATTTTATTCCTCTGTACTACATCTCTAATCTGTTTGGCCAGCCTGTGCTGACTGTTTACTTGAGCAGCGTGTTATTTGGTCAGCCAGACAAATGGGTTGTACAGCGTGGTCAGTAGTAGATCTTCATAAAGATCAGCCCCAAAGATATTATCAAAACCAGTATCTTTAAAAAAACCTATGGTTTTTTATGTGATACCAGTATTTTTCTCACAAAATGGGGAGTGGTTGAGTCTTAGTGCCAAATGCAGGTGTGTAATATTATAGGAAAGACAAGAAACAGGCCTGAAAAGGCCAAATATGGTGCTAGTCTTGGAAAGAGGAGCAGTTGGGAAACTGCAGACCTATCGGTTGCAATTCAATATTGGGAAATATTCCAGAACAAATAATTATACTATATGTGAGCTTCAGGAAGCTAGCAAGAAATTGAATAGCAACCATTGTGGATTTTTCAGGTAGAAATAGCATCAAATCAATGCAGTTTCCTCTACCAAAGGGTAACACACTGTGTGGATAAGAGGACAAAGCACAAATAAATGATTAACTTTTTTAATATGCTTTTGACGGTTATCATATTCTATTCTCACAAACATGTGAGGGAAGCACATATTAATTGAAATTGCTGGAGAGTAGCTGCAGAAACTGGTTGGAAAGGTTACCAATGTTCACCGTCAAAGTTTTCATGGACGACTTCTGGATTTGATCGGTATTTTCATTAATGTTATGAATAATGGCACATACTTTGCAGTCATGAAATGATGCAAGAACACTAAAAACAAGATAAGAATTCAGCCCCAAATTTAGAAAATAAATTATTTTGGGGGAAAAAAAAACCCAGACAAATTGACTGAAAACAAATGCAAGTTACTACATTTAGGAAACACAAACTATATGAACACGGGAAAAGGTTACAGTCAGCTAGATAGCAGTCCTTTAGAAAAAGGAGTTAGTGTGGAATGTAAATTGAACATGACCAAATCACCATGACCAATCACCAAATTGTAAAAATGCAAAAGCCATTCTAAAATACAGTCTAAACCACATGAAATAATCCCACTGCACTTCTTAGCACCCATATGTCCTCATCCAGTTTTTGGTGCTCTTTGTTGGGAGTAAGTAAAGCAGTTGGAGAGAGTTCAGAATAGAGCAATGAAAGCAATCAGAAATTTAAAAAACTAACTTACAAGGCAAAATAAACTCTGAAGAACAAAGGAGAAGGGATAAGGTAAAGAGGAAGGAAATTACTTGTTTTCTTTCTGATGGGAAGAGCAAGGAGCTGTAAGCTCAAATTACATAGAGAAACTTCACTAGAAGTTCTGATCTAGAGTTGAACTAAAACCAGTTAGGCTTGGAAGAGCCTGACAGCATTTTGGAGACACCGTCATTAGAGCTTAGTAAAGATAAACTAAATTGATATCTGCTGGAAATGAAAGATAAGGTTAATCTGTTTTGAGGTCTAGTCCATCCTTTGCCCCCTTATGATTCCATCCATCTCTGTGATTCAGTAAGTGGAATTTGTTTGTTCTCAGCTTGGTGTCCTGATTCTTCCACATACATAATTGTTGTGCCTTTGACTGTTTTGTTTCTCAGTTTTGTCTTCAGCTTGTGTTGTTTGAATGTGATGGAAGCCTAGAAGAGAAATACTTACCTCAGAGTTCAAAAGAAAAAGTTAGCAAAAGCTGGTACAAAAGAGAAACTTTAAAGATATTTTTGAAGAAGATGTATTCCAGTCATTTTTAGTAGTTACCAAGAAGGATTAGAATTGTTAGTAGTTTCTTAAAACTGCTTTGTCACAGATAATATCATGTTAACTGTAATTTTAATTCTTTGAGAAAGTTACTTGATGGTGTGTTCCCATTACTATTGTACAACTATTCCTGTGCATATATGTGTATATATTATATGTAGCATTTTTCTTAATGCATGTTAAGTTATAAGCAAACCATATAGATAAATATTGGGCCTTTTGTCTTCTGATATTGCTGCCATTTTCCTACATGCTTATATTGTAATCTGTATTGACCTCATCTATCTTCCTTCAGTTCCCAACTCAGCGCACAACGGTTTTGAAGGAACTATTCAGCGGTCGCACCGGCCTTTATATGAAGACAAAGTTTGCTTTGTAGCCACAGTTAGATTAGCTACCCCTCAATTTATCAAGGTATGTACAAATGAAATCACTTTCATATCATTTTAAAATGTACTCTGAACAGGAAAACTTCAGAGAGAGTGCACACAACTTTTCAAATACTATTAATGAAACCCATAAGGCATTTTATTATATGAAACTGAAAATGTCTGTCTTTCTTACTTCACATACAAATAGGTTATGCAAGTGTCAAATGAAGTTGCTATGGCGACTGCCATTTCTAAATACTCATATAAAATAGTGATATGCAAGAAAATAATTTAGAAGTCCATAGGAATATAATTCACTCAGTTTAACTTAAACACAATGAAAGATAACATAGATTCCACTTTCACTGGAAAAATGAATAATTTTAGTTGACACTTGGATGTGAATGTGAACTTTATGCTGCTGATGATCTTGCTGTAGTTTGACAGAGAAGCAAATCTTTTAGGGCTTAATGAAAGCTTGAATTATTTGTCAGCAACTGAGAGTCAGGTTTGAGGTAATAGAGATCTTCCGTTTTGTTTCAGTATTGTTTGTTATTCAGTAACTCAGTTGTTTCAAGAGAACATTTTGCTTAACTGCTCATGCACAGTGAAGATATCTTTACAAGTTTAGAATTGGATATGTGTTTGAAATTTATAGACTTTACTAAGTATAATCCTGTTCCTCACCAAAATGAATCAAAATAAATATTCAGGATACAGTATCGGATAGTCTGTGGTTGTGATATAGGTTATATGTTTTCTACAAAGGTATTAATCAACGTACAGGATAGTCTACTATGGAACATTTGTTCTTACAATTCAGTTGTAAAGAAATGCCATGAAATGTATATGGCACATGATTAAGCTGCTGTCTGTCATGCAGAACTCTCTGAACATTTAAATATTCTGCATGTAAGTTGAATGCCCTAGTGTCTTAAGCTGAAGATTGTTGGTGGTATCCTCTGAAGACATGGTCTACATACTTTGCACTTTGAAAGTGTAGTAGGGAGACTGTGGAGAAATCATATAAACTTCTTCAGTTCTGTCAGGCTGAATCGAAGTTGGATCTCTGCAGACTGCGTGCCAGAAAGAGTTTGTTGTTTATTTTTCCTGAAGCCATGGAAATCTTTCATCTGACACTTTTCTTCCCATGTGGGTCTAAGTAATGTTCTTCCTGTTATGCCTACAGTTGGTAGAGATGTTAAATGTGTGATTTTTGCTTCATGAAATACTTGGGGAAAAACAACCAACCCGGCAGTATTTGCAAATATTTTTATCTTTTAAAGTCTGACAGTTTAGAATGTGCTATAGGAGAACTTTTGTGTTTCCTACTTCTGGAACAGGACATTTGGAAGTTGAGGAACATCCATTTATGATCATAGAATCATAGAATCATA